CCTAGTGGACGGAGCTGCACATATCCTCCTCCTCTGAGTCGCCCTGGGAGACGCGACGGGGACTGCAGCCTTGCCGAGCCGCCCAATCCTGAGCTGATCACTTTTAATAAAGGCATTATAAAGGAGAAGAAGTCTCCTGGCCCTTGTTTATTTCAGAAATCATTTGCAACAAATGAATATCCCACATATTCTTCGGTGGCGGCCATTTTGTGGCATGCCTTGGGATTGTGCGAGGAATGGATTTTGGGCAGTAAAGCAACCTTGAACATTTTTGGGTTCAGCAACTGGGAAAAAGGGATTGGAAGGAGGGATTGTGAGAAGGAGAAGCTTCTTTCTTCCAATGGGGTTGTGCAGTAAAGCCTAACTTGAGGATGTCTGAAACTTTATCAAAATATTCTGCTTTTAAACTTACATAACCTGACATCAGCATTGCTTTAGAGTGACTCATGAAGTGGCATCTCAGCCTGTAAAGGATGTGCTAACATTTGCTTTCATTGCCTTTTGTAACTGGACCACAATATGGCAGAAAAGAACTAAGCCAAGCACAAGCATTACCCCCAAATGTATCAATTTACTGCACATCTTGTGAGTAAAAGGTAAATATTGCTCGTTAAGCATAAATGTTGGAAATATTTTAGCAAGAAATTTTCCTGTCTCTTCATAGGGTATATTTTTGATGGAAAAAGTAAAAGTATCTAAGTATGCCCCTTTTCTGCACATGTGTATGGAGTTCACTTGCTTTGCTGAAAGGAAAGCTGCCTCAGAAGTGTAAGGTCTGACAGGCCTCCACAGTCAAATTCCCTAAAGAACACATTTTGAGACCTCAGGCCCTTTTTTTTTACATTTATCTCTAGATCAAGTCTCTCCTTCCAATCCAGGAGTGCTGTCAGCTAGGACAGCAAGCTGCAAAAGGGCAGTGTAGCAGCTGTGGAGGACTGCCCTGCTCTGAGGCCCTCCCCTTGGCCTGGGGGCAGCAATTCCCAAGGCCCCTGGCAGCTTTGAAAGGAAAATGCCAATGCCTTGTTTCTGTCAATAGCCCTGACTCCTGTGGAAGTCTGCTCCTTCCCCCATCAGGAATGTTGCACTTAACTGCATCCTGAGCTGCAGCTCTTGATGCCCAGCAGCATGCGCTTGCTCACAGACTTGCTGACAGATTCAGCTGCAGAATTACTTTCTTGCTTCCATCACAATAATTCAAGTTTTAGAGCGGATTAATCAGTATCCATCTCACTCATTTTGGACTCAGTGTCCGCAAGAACTCAATTCTTGCCAAGCTGCTGGGAAGGCTGTTCAAGTCTTTGATTATGCTCCATCCATAAGGACAGCTGCCTGACAGTACTATGCACAAAGCAAAAGAAATGTGGTGCTGACACCTCACCCATCACTCGCCTTGAAAGGTGGAGACTGGTGCTTTTGATTTAGTGCAGCAGCAGAAAAGGAACTGGAGCAGAGCAGTACGTTCAAATCACACACACACACACACACACACAAAGTGATCATGAGAAAGAACATTTAAAGTAATTTCTAAAGTCTCAGATGATGAAATTATGGTTACAGTGGAAACAGATACATTCCATAATTTTTTTCAATTTTTTCATTTTTTTCAATTTGAAAAGTTCAGTTCTCTTGATTACTTCTTGAAGTGACTGAAGATCCTTCAATATACACCATCTTAGGGATTCATGCAATATGACTGAGCAATTTTGTTAAAAGATGACATTAAAAATGAAACATAATTTATAAAGTCAACCTTTTAAACATTTTTATTTAGTAATATCACTATGAGCTTCAGTCTGGACTAGATTTAGGGAACAGACAGTAACTTCCATCTTATTTTTTTAGAGTTTACCCTGCTACCTATCACTGCTGGTAGTATCGAAGTGTGACATTTGTCAGCCATGGAGCCTGTAGGGATTCGATGCATTATGCAGACACATTATGTAAATATACCATTTTGATATATTATGTGACCTTTTCCATTAGCCAAATAACAACACTCCAGAACCTGACCAAGGCCATCATTTTTCACCCAGCTTATTTTCTCTCAGGCATCCAGGGGCTTCTTTACGGATTCAAAACTACTAAACACAAACTTTTCTAATATCATGTAGGGGAAGCTGCTTAAAAGCAGGAAAGAGTGCAAAGTAATGGTGATGTGTCAAGTATTGGGGATAAATGAGAATATAAATATTGGGAAATAAGTCAATTAAAAGAGAGAAGTAGGCCAGCCATATGACTGGCTGGGACAGGGTTATATTGAAGCACCTCAATCTCAGGAGAAAACAGCAGGGGCGACATGCAAGAGAGAATGTTCCCAACCTCCTTGATGCTAACAAGGGTGCCTTCCTTCCTCTAATCTTCCTGTTCTTTATGACTGGAATGCTCTTTGCTCACTACCCTGTTTCTGTGTTCAGATGTTAAAAGCCAAGATAGCCTATTTCTCCCAGAGACCTGTGCCAGTGTTGTAGCATGTGTATGCAGTAAGATAAAAATTTCAAAAATTCAACAATTCTCCTTCCACCCACTCGCAAAAAAGAGCAAACCCGAACCCAAGCAGGCACGCTTACCTCTCTGAAAATAAACTTCTGGTTTTCAGGAACACTGTGGGCATTTTCTTGACACAAGTACATCGTCAGGTAGTCAGTTCCTGAATCAACGGCTGCGCAGACTTCCGGCTGCCGCGTGTTGTAACGTATTTCATTGTGGGATGTGTACTCGAAAAACTACAAACCCAAGGGAAGAAACAAAGGACAGCAGTCATTTCACATGCACACAGAGAGTGTTTAGAAAGAAGCATATACTAAGAGACTATAATTAGGTTCACGAATAAAAGTTGCTGCTGTGAAGGGAAATTTTGTCAGAAATATTCAGGAGTCCTTAACTTCTACTGCTTACTATTTTACAGAAAATCAATCTCATCACAGCACTGCTTTATTCTTGTAGCACTTAAATGTGCTGGAAAACAGGCGTTCCAGTATTAAAGAATTTCCAAAATTCGACTGCAATATTTAACTTTCACATTCTAGGCCCCCCTTAAAAATTGGATAGAAAACAGTTTCTGGCCTGACATTATGCCTTCTTAATTCAGTCATCACAAAGTAATATCACTTTTAACTAAGGAGTTGCTCACTGCATTGTTCAAATGCAGTTTGGTCCAGGTTCATTTCCAGTTATAATGGCCATTTCCACCACTAGGGATGCATGGTGATGAGCATTTTGTTCTATAAAGTTTTAAGATATTATTTGAAGCAAAACAGGTACAGCTGCTTTTAAACATGAAAAAACTTCCTTAAAGACAATTTACTGTCTTTACTTGTTGCACGATATTCTACAGAAATGTTATGAACATGCTCTGAAACTCCTGGCTTCTGTAGCAGTTATGGTTGAAGACTTCCTTAAAATTGTATACTTATCATGAATATTTGCCAACTTTTGGACTTCATTAAAGAGTGGCAGAGTTGGACAGTTGTTTTTATTTAGCAAGCTTATAAAAAATTTAGATGACTATAGTGCACGGATGTGTGTTTAGATCTGATTTACATTACACTCAATAAAGTACAGGAGAGTTGTATAAACATCAGAAAATTGCTTATTACCCATAGTACAGCTGCATTAGCAGAGACCAATAAAAGGATGAGGGAGAGAAGGAATCCTCTTTTGTTTTGTTTCCCCTCTGGAGACTGTAAGGCTTTGTGAAGGGGGCTGTACTAATTCAGAAATGTTCATACTTGAACTTACCACAAAAACATCCTTAACAACCACCAGGGCTAATAACCTTGATGAGGAGTTGGAAGTGGAGTTTCAGTATAAACAGGACTGTGCTATTACAAAATCTTCAGCCATCCGTTTCCAAGTGTAAGAGCTCTGATCTGGACTACACTGATAATAGTTGTTTCATGAAATCTGCCCCTCCTATTGTCACAATCAGGAATTTCTCTGTCAAGGTGGCTGTCACACCCATACACTGACCAATGCTGCCCACTGCATCACCCTGTGGAGTCTCATGGGGGTTTTTTCCCAGCCATGATGCAAGTGACTGACCCCTGCCTTCCCCCCCGCCCCCCAGAATTCACCTATTTGCCACCATTCATTTGTGGTAAGCCACAAAGGGAAATGAGTGTTTTTGAGAAAGCCACATCAGGTTTGAAGTCTCCCTGCTGACATAAGACCTCAGAGACCATGATTTTCCCTTGAAACCTATTGCTAAGATCTGTTCCTACAATGTAGGTTGCACTATTTTTACATTTGCCATATGCAAAAAACAAAAAATCTCATCGACAACAAAAGTAAATTGTGTGAATATTGGTCCTGTTATTATTATTTACCCTAACAGGCAGCAGCTACTCCCTGGCCTTTAGGCTTTATTCCCAGGTTCAGTATCTGACTGACACATGGAAAACTCGCTACTTTGGGCACCACAGTGAGCTACAGAGACATACATTTTAATCCTATGGCTTGTGAATAAAGAAAAAGCCTCAGTTCTGCTCAGTTGTGTGTGGATGGACACTTTTTACAGCTGCCACTTTCACAAAGCCATATTTAGAGCCTTGCTCGTTAGGGGATGTATTAGATATAATAACTCTTTAGCAATTTGTATAAGTGAAAGCTTGCAAGCTGCTGACTGTACCAGATGTGCCAAGAATAAATAGAGCAGCTTCTAGATCAGAGCACTTCTTACTACTGATATCTTTCCTGAATGGTCTCTCAAGGACTTGCACCAGATTCCAAAGAAGAGCAAGTAAAATGGTTAATTTCTGGATAGCTTCAAGGAATGGGGTTATAGTACTAACAACCAAGCACTCCTGCCTTGTTGCCCAATGAACATAATCAGTTTATTACCCTACACTTCAAACTGAATAAATACTTCAGGCTTTGGGCTTTTCCAAGCTCTAGTAATACAGGAAATAAATATCTTCCTCCTCAAAAGGTAAAGCATTTTTTAGTTCTCTTTTCTTGCATTCTGTTAGCAGAAAGGAAGCATTTTCAAACTGATCCATGGCACAGTAACTAGTAGCCTTACTGCATTTCTTTCCTTCTGAGAATCAGTAGATTCCCTTAAGTGCTATTGGCGAACTTGATGAGGCCTTTTACCCGTTGTCTCTGGCTTCTGGACCATCTACAGGATATGTCTCAGCTGCATCAGTGTCTCTCTGGTACTGGGGCCAGCAGCAGATTTTGGCTACCTCACTGGACCCTGAAACACACTCTCATCCTTCTCTGTGCCTGGCTATTGTTGTTTTGTATGCAGGCAAAAGTTTGCACTTGATGGGTAGAACCAGCAGAGAGGTTACCAGGTCTGATACTCTTTTTTGCTGAAAACCCAAGGGCTTTCTAACTTCTTTGTTTCCCTCTCACTGTTATGTCAAATGTATCAGCTCTAAATGGGAATTCTGGGAAGAACACTGTCAGTCAGTGTGTTCCCATCCTCTTATCACATCAGGCTGATTTCTTGCCATCACACATTGCTGCCTCTGTACTGCTTCCCAGCCATACCCAGAAGGGCAAAGGGCTTCACTGGTGTTGAGTTTCAAAGCCTTTGATTCTCCTCTGTGGGGCAGATACTCCCACAAAACATAAGCAGCCTGAGGTACAAGCAATCAGTGCCCAGTGTTTTGTGTATTTCCTTCCTCTCTTATGGATACACTCAGCTTTTAATACTGCAGTGTTATCCTCCCTTTCTTGTGATAAGGATAATGCTAATTTAAAAAAAAAAACCCTCCAGTTAGTTTTCTTACACTCACACAAAAGAAGTAAAAGAAACCTTCTCAATTCGACCATGGATTCAAGAAGGAACAGAAACAAACTACCAGAAATTTTAGTTTTCTGAGAGTGATTTTATTCACTGAGATGTAAAAGAGGAGCAGGTGCTGGACCTTATAAATAACCAAGAGCACAGTGCTCTCTCCTCTCAGCACAGTGCACACAGATATTCAGAGGTCACCAAGTAGAGACTTGTTGCCAGTGAAAAGAGTTTTGAAGTTGTCCCCTACATAAACAGCCACCTGCCTGTGGTGTGGGACAGGGAACAGGAGCAAAGTTTGGAATAAGGGCTTGCTGCTAAAACTCTATATAGATAAAGAGTGGAGTGATGAGAACAAACTCACAGAAAAAAGGCAGGAAGAGTTTGGGATTAGGATGGTGGATTCCCTTCCAGGGGGCCAAAGAGAAGTTAAGGGCTGCCTGCTGTCAGTAAATATCTCTGAGATTCCGTTGTTGTTAAAACTAGAGGATGACCAAACCTTGCCACAATCATTTCATCAGCAGACAGCAATGGACATAAATGTGGAAGACTTGACTGTTTTGATTCTGACAGTGTCACCTGCCAAAGGATTCACACCACAAGGAACAGCCTGCTACCTTTTCAGTTTGTCAAGAAGGTGTTGGGATGGGAAAGAAATGGAGAGAAATGTCCTGCTGGTAGGTGTCACAGCTATTTGTGAGCCAGAAAAGGGAGCTGCAAGTCCAGCAACCCCAACTTCATTTCCCACCTCACTTGTGTTTCTACATCTTGTCTTATTTTAGTCTTCCTCTGTTCTCCCACACACAACTCTTCCTGCTGTCCACTTGTTCTCTTGCAACTACCTATCCCCCCTACTCATGTCCTCCTTTGCCAGCTGGTATCTCAGCTCCCACATTCAGTCACCATGCCCCTTTCCACTAAAATGTTCTCCAATGACTCTGCTTGGTCCACTCCCTGTCCTACTCTTCCCTGTGTCACACATGCCCTGCTCATCACCAGCTGCTCAACCTCTGTCACAAACTACTACTGCCTTTGTCACCTTGGCCCTTTCTGCCTGGCTCCTGCCAGCCCTCCCGTGCCTTTTGGCCCATTTTGCTAATCTTGTTTTACCCATTTCCTGTGTTTGGCCTTCCCTCCTCAGGCTCTGCAGTTCTCTTAAGTCATCTCATATTTTCCTTTATTGGTTTACATGGCAGTCAGGTGCTTTCTCCACTTCTCCATCCTCCTCCTGCCCGGGTGCCAGCAGAGGGAGCGGTTTGCACAGTTCCCAGAGTGTCGCTGCTCCCAGCCCGGCGCCTGCCACCACAGGTACATGGATGCACCACCAGCAGAGATGGAAGAGCATTAATAGCCAGTGATGTGATATCTTGCAGTAAATTCAGTTAATCTCTTAGGTTAATCTCCTAGTGCCAGCTAAACAAAGGATAACTGTTCTCTTTTGCTTTCACCTTTTATCTTATTTCTTTATTCTTTCTTGGGGAAAGAAATAAAATTTAAGATAACTCTTTTTGCTCAGAGAAATGCAAAAAAAAAAAAAATTGCAACCCCTCTCCTCTCTGTAATCTGAAATACAAGGAAAAATATATCTATAAATACCTTTGGCATGTTAGCATGTAATCCTCTACATTACTTGCTTCTTAATCTACAAAAGCTATCAAGTCACTTATAAGAAAGTGACTTGACTGGGTTATCTGATTATTAACTGCTCTATAGAGATCTACAGAAGTATTCTTAACTTCTGCAAGAATTTGAACTGAGGGAGTAAACAGGGTGAGGTGGGGCTTCGCATAATTGGCATGCATCTGTCAGTACTGAGATCCTTTGGCTTTTATGGTACAAGATTCTCCCCCTGCCTTCCTCTGCACCTTGACCTTAAGGACAGAAATATTATGAAACCTAAGACATAAAACAGACATGAGCTAATAAATAACACTAAATAATAGTTATAATAATTTAGGCAATAAACTTGCTATCAGCAGCAAATCTATTTCCTCTTAAGATCTGAGGTACATAGCTTTTTCTTTCCCCTTTCTCATGTAAAGTGCAATTCATATTAGAAGCCTTCTCCCCAATACAGATTTGTTCTACACTCCTTGAGCTTTTATGTTTGTTTTTTTAAGCAGAGTTCAGAACGATAGCAGATACTCTGCTTAACTGTCACATCTCTGTTTTTTTCCCAAACTTTGTTTTCCCTTTTTTCCTTTTTCCAAACAATCCTAACTGAATGTTTGGATTAATTTCACTAAAAAAGAACCTGAACAGTCAAGCCACCCAAGCTGTCACAGGGTTATGTACAAGAGGTCTCACAAGACCTTTGGTACTCAGCACTGATGAGACCATATCTCAAGTACTGTGTTTACTCTAATCGGAATTAGAAGCCAAAAATCAAGATAGGCAAGTACATGACCCACATCAAATATCAAACTTCAATTCTGGAAGATGGTCACTCAAAACTATGCAAAAACAGCCATTCTAGCCATTCACACAGTGCCCCACAACACTTTTACCATGGCATTATGCAGAGAGGCTTATAGGTATCAAAACTAACAACTGCTGCACAAAGGTTCAGTCAACATGGAGAAAGAAAACAGCATTTTCATCAACAGAAGTTAAAAACAAGACAGCAAGAATGACAGCATTAAAGAGAGCCCCTGCTCTCCTGGACTGTGGAGCCCAAGGAGGGAGGACATTTCTGTAGAAGGACAGGAGAAGATGTGGCCAAAAACCTCTTGGGTAGTTAGACAAGCACCACGAGGAAGAGACATGATGCCAGACCCAGGTGGAACTAGGTGAGGTTTCCAATGTCATTAAGGGCTTTAGAGGCATGGACAGAGAGAAGCTCAGAGGGGTTTTGGAGTTGAGTGAACACTGGCCTGTGAGCACTATAGCTGCAGTGATGTGCCATTAACCCCTGCTAATGAGCTCTGTGGAAAGGCATAATAAAGGTGTGCATGAGTTCCCTGGGCTGGGTAGACACATCCTCAGAATGAAGAAAATCTGACCTGAAGATACATCAAAATAAAAAGCATTTAGTGCAAGAATCAAAACTCAAACTAAGATCACCTTACTGCGGCAACATATTCTCTCAGCCCTACTGCAATGACTTTACCATACTTCCTTACATTACAACCCTAAATGTTAAGTCAAAATAAAAATAAAACATTATTCTTACCTGATTTTGTCCCATGCCATGGCATGGGTAGAGTATGACCCTCTGTCCGGTTACTTGATGTTCATTTGTAGGATTATAATCAAAGCAGAAGTTTTCCATTCCTCTATTCTTCAGCTAATCAAAACAAAAGAACATTTTAAAATATTAGTCTAAAGTAAGGAACATATTCTGTAGTCACTCTACACTCATCCTGCTGGGCTCTGAGATCCATCCCAAAGCTAGTACAAAGCAACGGGAATAGATCAAAAGCATGCAATGGTAACATCTCTCAGACTAATAAGAAATAAAACTGGATCATCTTGACTTTGAGCACTGAAGCAGCCAGACATGATGGCTTCCCCTAGGAATGACACTGTGTTCCAATGTATTTGCAAAGGAAGTGGGTAGAAACTATGAAAAAGTGTGTTGAAACCCAACAAGCCAGCAACTCATGCAGAACAAAAGAGTCTGCCATGCCTTTTTCCCCCAGGATCTACTTGTTCAATTTTCTTATGAAAAGATGACTACATACTTTTCTCAGTTTGTCAAATGGGAAATGTTAGGAGGATTTGTTCTCAAAAGGACTCCAGTACCCTCTTGAGGCAGAACAAGCAGACAGATTTTAGGATCAGAAATTTTGAAAGTGGGCAAAATATATCTTTGGAAAGAGATATTATTATGGTGTGATATTAAATGCTCTCGATACATGTTGCTGATCTCTACCTGACAGAAGAGGTACATAACTTCTACATAAAATTTTAAAATATTAAGTTAGCTAATTTTAAAAACAACAGGCTAGTTATCAAGGATCTGCATTTAAGTATTCAGGAGGCAAAAGTAACTGAAAATAAGTTAAACAAGCACATAACCACTGATTCCTGGTATCAGCAACATAACCAAATTTGAAAACACACAGAGCAGAATAGGTTCAGTAAACAAGAAGCTGAATGCCCCTGTTACTGAGTGTAATTATATCACAGACAAAAAGAATAGGCAGAGTAAATCTCAGAAGAGTTAGTTCAGCAAGGTGTAATTTCACTGTTCTTCCCTAGTCATGATAATCATATCCAGAGTTCTTAATGTGGAAAATGAGCGGACACACAGGGATTGCAGGCGGCTAGAACTAAACAAACAAGACAAACCCTGTGGGGCCTAAACCCACCACAGAGCAAACCACACAAGCTGGAAAATTAAATACTTGTGTTCTATATATGTTTGCTTTGCCAACTTCTACTTTTAGTGTTACCCAACATCTTCTTTCCACTGCCTTGTGCTCACTCCTGCATTAGACCACTGCAACCCTCCTTGAACAGTCAAAATAAAATATTTTGTTTACTTTCCTAATGGGAGCCAAGAATTACACTTAGAAAAACAGGAAAGAGACGTGTCTTACACAGACTATTTTTAACACTGCCATGGAACTACATAAACCAAACAATAAGCTTCTCACGTTTCTACATTCTACATCAGGAAATATCAACCTAAAAGTCATAACCACTTAAAATGGTAATTTTATCTCTACAATTGTTGTTGTCAGCAGCTGTCTTCAGGACCAGAGGGTCTCCCATTGGTAGGTTTAATAACATATGACTCTGCCTGACTGTCTACTGGCTCCAAGGGCAGAAAAGCCCACATCCATGGTGCCCTTCCAGGCAGCCCAATGACTTCCCTAGTGCTCTTTGCCATCAGCCCCTGGCACATGCTCAAGTGTGAGCTCCCTTTTGGGAAATTTTAAATAATCTGTTTGAAAATGTCCTGCATCACCAGAACTACAGTAACTCCCACATGCATGTTACTCAATGCCCAAATATACACAGCAAAAAGATATGTAAAAGCTTACTAAACTTAAGATTCATGTCAGATGGTTTGAAAATGAGGCTGTATTCTAGGGTGTTACCATGTATGTTCTCTCCTTTTTCGCTTTCATGCATAAATGAAATGTCAGCTTGTGATACATGCAGACATTTTTCTGCATGTACATGGTCCATGTTGTTCACCTGGTTCTTTTATTTTGTCAGACATTGGTAGATATTGGCTTCCTGATGAAATTTTGGCACAAGTATTCAAGACCTAATTAGTGGAAATAGTATATTCTAAGCTTTTAAATTACCTAATCTGAAATGACATAGAAAAATTTGAAAATCTGACTGCAGCACCATTTATTAAAAAACCCCAAAAAACAAAGACACACACTTGCCCTCTGTTCCAAGGCAGAAAAAAAGTATAAGAGAATTTGTGAAATATTTTTCTCTTGTTAAATGAAAATATACAGTTTAAGTATCTTTTATGTGCAAGAGTGCAAGAGCTCTATCAAAACAGTGATCACCCACTCATTTCTGAAGCTATGTTTATTCCCACATCCACCATAAACAAGTCATGCAATGAGAATAAAATTTTCTGTGTGACTTACCTTACTTCTTTTGCACAATGCTGCATTAGAGAAACAGAAGCAAGAAAAAATGTTGATCACCTTGCCATTAAAACACATTGTTCAGATCTAAAACCACGTACCCATGCAGGAGTATTGGCTGTGGTTTTTTACAGCATTTGCTTCTTATTGAATCATTGCCATTGAAACTACAGGTGTCACTCTATGTGCCATTTAGTTACCACTGTTTGGAGGCTGACATAGGTAATAAACACCAAGATATTCACCATAGACCTTAACCCTTACTGCTAGGAGATATTTAAATCTATTGTTTCCTAATATCTGGACGCTTGCATATAACTACACAATACAGCTAGCATTCTATGAATAAGTCTTAGTTTGATAAAGTGCATTGCAAACAAACCATCAACAACAGATTTCTGACATTAAAACTTCATTACATTAGTTGATAAGTACGGCCAATGGAGCCCTGCCAACCTTTCTCTACATCCACAAAATAGATCAGAATCCTCTTTATTCTGCCAGTGGCAGTGGAGCTGATCTATTAGTGAGATGGACAGATGATACTGTGGGATGCAGTAAGATATGAATTTGCAGCAAGCCAGACAGCTTCACTAGTACTGATCAAATATCAGCTTTTACCTCAAAGGTAATCCAAGCAGTCACAGGAAATTATTCTACTGAGTAAATGCTATTTTCATATCACCTGTTAACTTAAGGGCAATGCTGAAAAGGGCATACAAGACTGATGACTAAAACCCTCTGAAGGAAGGTGACACACTGCTGTTGGATTCATTGGCTCACCCCAGCAAGCCCAAATCCCCCTGGGAAGCTCAAAAACCTATAAGCATGTGGCTCAAGCAATGGTGTGTTCACTACCAAACACTTGAATTTCTTCCAGAAATCCCTTTTAAAAAGCCTCTGCCTAGCTTTCAAAGGCTTTTCAGAGCCAACCAAGTGGTGCATATTTTCCTGTGATTGACATAAACTCTCCAGGTCTAGTCAGTCCTAATCTTTGCTACCAAGTCAATGTCAAGTGGCAGCTCTACAAATTGGATTATAATGAAGTTTTAGAGGTATACCTTAGAGAAGGGACCCTGATAGCTCTGAGAACTTGAAGCACGAGTCATGCAATATCTTTGATTATGTAATTTAAAGCACATAGCTGTATTCTTCTGCAAGCCTGTCCAGACATATGTGTTCTTTAGATAATTTAAATAATTTTAAATTCTCTTTCATGTTGCAGCAAAACAAAATTCTTCAAAGTTTTAAAGGCATAGTTTAAAATCTTCCTTCCAATTTTTTTAGGATTATATCTAGTCTAAATAAAAAGAAAATTATGACTGAGGACTTGAAAAGGAAGATGAGATGGTCTTGGAGGAAAATAGGGAAGAAGCTGTCAAAAGAAAAATTCAAGTTTTTTGACTTCCCGACTGACTCAGTCAGAAACAGATGCCTTTAGTGATAGAAGGCAGAAAGAGAGACCAGATAGAAAGTCCCAGCACAAGACATCTATCAGCTTAGTTGCTTTACATTCAGCTGAAAAAAATATCAGCTAGAAACTGAGAACAAAGAAAAACTTACCATGTCAGAACATAGTATGGTCTCACCACCAAGTGATCAAACTTACAGAAAATTAGAGTAAAATCCTGATTTTTGTGTCACTGCTGATTTTAAAAGCAATCTTGATGCCAAACTTAAAGCCAAATTCACTGACTGACCCCAATCTTTATCTTTGGATATGCACCTCAATGCCAGCCATACTTAATACACACCTCAGAAGAGAGAAGAGCTCTGACTCCTGCCTTGCTTTGCAGCCGTGCCTTTCCACAGTCACCCATAACATGAAAAGATCACAGAGCTGCCCAGCCCCTCTATCTCCATCCAGCTGCACATTGCAGAGATGTCACCACACCAATGCTGAGCACATCAGCTGGCTCAAAGCTCTTCTCCTACAGACTCCCACACCATCCCTTCCCAGGGTAGTTGGGATTTGTAAACTGACCCAGTCTCTGCTGTCCAGGTGGGCAATTTCTGCAGAGTTGGGGCTCAAGCCTTGTTACAATTTCACACCTACCTACTTGTAGCATGCTCAAGGATGACCAAATCAGAGGCTGTGCCAGAAAAAGACACATCAGTGTGGTACACCAGAGCCTAAAAGGTATTATCAGCCTTTCCAGAAGTGCTGACATATTATTTTAACCCACTGAGTGCCTATCAGCATCAGTTCCTCCTGCCCCCTAACAGAAATGATTCAAGGCAGAAGGTTCATGTCCCACAAAGTTCCAAAGCTGCACGAAGCCCAAGGAGCAGCACGAAGATATTTATCGCTTTTATAGGTCTCAGGCAGTTTGCAGGAATGCAATCATATCTCAGGCAAAAAGGTTCATAATTCAGTATGTTTAAGTAAAGTTTGAGGCAGCTAGCATTTTAGATAACCAAGGGTAGGTAGTATGGATATTTTTATCTATGTATCAAGAAAAAAAATGTAGCATAAGAAGCTGCTTGCCAGTGCACAGCACTGAATGCTGCTCATTAATTCTTGACTCCGTCTGAATAACGCATCGCTGACTTACAGGTAATCTTAGAAATATTTTTAACTTCAGTTTAAAAGTAAAAAGATTTTTAAGGGAGGTAAAAATCTCCATATTCCCTTGTATTCTCCTTGAACAATTAAATAACCTCACACTAAGTTGAGCTGTTATGAAAGCTGACACTTTTAAATACAGTATTTTTGTGAAGCAGAAAAGCCCTACACAGCTAAGGCGGGAGTAAAGAACAAGATCAGTGATTCATTGAAGCTAGCAGATGGGACTCAATATCCACAAATCAGCTGAATCAGTAGGTGTCGTTTCTGCACTCCCAATTTCTCAGAGTACAACCATATTTCCATCACATTTTAAATTCCTCCTCCCCCCCAAAAATGGCGTATTCTCATTATGCTCACAACTAGATGACAGCATTTATGAATTGTTTTTAGAGAAATATATAGAGCACACCTAAATTACACTCTAGATACCTCAAGCAGCTCTGAACAAGAGTTATTATTTCTAGGTACTGTCAACTCCTTGCCTGAAGATGACAATTAAATCATGAAAGAAATTGCACAAATCCCTTCTCTTCACTATCACTGGCACCAGTCTAACCCTTTCTTTTGGAGGGAGAAGGATGGAGGTGGAGGAAAGGATAAAATACCTGAAATGCTCCTGGAAGCTAAGTCTTATAATACTTTACTGCTTCAACTGTCTCAGAACTTGCCAGTGGCAACACAGAACAAAAGAGCAAAACCAGAACCAGTGTTGTACCAGGGTTTGTTCAAGGTACTGGAAAATGGTGGGTAGCACCTTTCATGCCACTGATCAGAGAGATATCACCTCTCCTGCAAGCTCCAAGACAAATGGAGGAGGGTGGGAATTCTCCCAGAGGCTCCTAAGGGCTTTTCTGACAACTGCTCCCCTCCCTGGGGGAGCTCCCACAGCTCCCCAGAGGAGGAGTTTTCCCCAGGGAAAACCACAGCATTTCCACATTAGCATCTTTTTCATTCAACAAGTTACAAAGCTATTAGGGCAGACTGTGGGGAGACTTTGTTCCTGAATGTTTTGTATGTCCACAGAGATCAGATTTTTTTTTTTCCCTTTCCTGAAGGAGATTCAGCAGAGGCTGAGTAACTTGGGGAAGAGCAGATGGTAGCAAGACAAGGGCTGGATGTGATGATGCAGTGTGGGAATGCAGCTCAGCTGGATCTGCAGAGAGATTGAGTTACCAGCAAAAGTACTTTTAAGTCGATGTGGCATTTGGTAATTAGGAAGGTACTTGATACATCTTTGCCTGGTGGAAAGGTGCAGTTTTGTGTTCCTAACATGCAGCTGGTAGAGAGAAGAGAGGGGATTTTTCAGAGGAAACAGCTACTTGCTGCATCATCTCTGCCTTCATCCCTTCCAGATGAGATTACAGTAATGTAATATACATAGAGCTACAGTTTATATTTCTTTGTAAACTGCAAAGAGCATAAAGAGCTGTCTGCTCTTAAAAGAGAAGAGGATTCTGATTGAAACTATTGCCTGTGCCCTTGTTGGTCTAAGTGACCTTCAGATTAAAAATTAACATTTTGGTTTAATATACAGAATCCCCTATGATCTGGAAGCACTTAGCACCAGTTCTCTTTCCCATCACCAGAGCATCATAGTTTTCAACAGATAAAATGTATGAACATAATTTTCAAAGCAGACTCCTTTTCTTTTCAATTCAACAAATAAAATAAAACACTTTACTGTTACCTTTTTGTTACGCAATGTTTCGAGAAAAAAACCTCCTCTTTTGCTGCCTTTAACAGTCCCAAGATGTCACTTAGAAGGAGTAATCCACAACAACATTACCTGTTCTCCTACTCTGTCACAGAACTCCTTCATAAACAGCATTCCCTTAAATAAAGATTCTGATAAATACCACATTTTAAAGCCTACCAGTTGTAAATGAATTTTACCAAAATCCCAAACTGATTTAGGCACAAAACCACCTTCACACTGACTTAGTAGGAGAGCTCAGAGAACTGCAAGCAGGCTCCCTTCTCAGCAGCCACACACCATTCCAAAGAAGCCTGGTCTGTCCTCGGGTACGTGAAGTTCTGGATACACGTTCTCCAAAAACCATTTGAAGTCCTTACATTTCAGCTTCTCTCGTAGAAGTCTCCTTTCTGTCACATCTCCATATGGTTCCTGAAAGAAAAAAAAAAAAAAAAAAATCCAGAACAGATGCTCTCTTTTAAATTATCTGTATACATTATTAGGAACCGTATGCTACAGTGATGAGTAGGACTTCTAGCCAGGAAATATCACCATGTTTGGGTGCTGGATTTGATTTCATTATCCTTACATTTGTTAAATGCTGACAAAAAATAATTGGAACTGTGCAAGTAGAACTTTAAAATATTCTAGAAGACAGTTTGTCTAAGAAAACTCCCTGAATCTGCAAGTGAGGAAGCCCTTGAATACAGATTGCTGGAGACTGAGAAGGCGTACTGGAAAATGAGACTTCCTTTAGATACATAATTGAAAATCTCCAAAGCAGTGAATGAATCTTTAGGACTTTAAATTGTAACACTATCCATTTGCAAATTACCTGTACAGTTCTACATTTAAGTTATGAAATTTGTGAAATCTGCTAATGTATCCTTTGAACTTCACCATTTTGGAGGGTGGGGAGTATGAAATCTTAAACCTCCAGAGAAAAGCTTTCATTGCAGACTTTTCCCTGTCTATGGATTGGAGCAGAGTTCATGTCTTTTTACATCTGTCTTCAAAACCCTATCTTCATATTGACTAGGGATTTCAGATAGTCAGGCATGAGAGAGCGTTTGCAGCCCCCAGATTTTTACAGGTCACTTGACAGAGTCTTTCATCAAACCACAAACGTATTTGCATTTCTCAGAGCTGTGGAAATACCACTGAAAACACAAAGCAGATGTAAAACAGAGATGCCTGTTTGAATAAACAAACAGCGTGACATATTAGCTCTGAGGTCTGAACATTAATCTTGCAGTGAAACTTCATGGAACCAATTTTTGCAGCCATAACATCAATCATTTTCCTGTATGCTACGGAACTGAATATTTGGGTTTGATGAAGTAAAAAGGTCTGAGCTCAACTGCTGCAACAAGTGGTGCACAGAGCATTATGGAAACCAAAGTTCATTGGCAGCAGCTTTGATATGTGGAAAAATAACCCTCATGAGTTTCAGCTTATATTCACTGTGTTACAATAAGCCAATACATGAAACTTTCAGTACTAACACAAATATCCTTTAAAGTTAAAGCTCTGTCATTACAGACATAAGATGCCCAGCACTTTACAAGAAAAATTGTCAGCATTTATTGCTCTTTTTGTGTATGACAAGCTGAAATCAGCCTGGCGTTGCCTATGGGCAAATCCCATATTTCTCTCCAAGTCAGACTCCGATAATAAAACCTAAATGGCTTTTATGACATTAAAGTAAACCAATTATTACAAATGTGTGGACCATAATGATCTAATTACCCAATTTAATCCAAACAAACACAAGATGAAAGCTAACCAAATTCATCTTCTCCAGCATCCTCCAGCATATTTTTTAAAAGCCTCATGTTTGCAAGGGCAGTTTTCCCCTGCTGCATCTATTGGGGTTGGCCACTCAAATGCGTGGGGGCTCCCTGTGCCCCACACTGGTCCCTCAGGTCTGATCCAGTGCAGCCAGAGGCTGATGCCCAGCAGCCCATCTCAGGCACAAAACCAAAAAGGCAGCGTTTAGAAAACTTCATGCAAAGAGATCATGCTGGGGAGACCAGGCACCTCCAGAAACAAGTAACAGCAGGCAATGATTTCTCTGGGGCCTGAATTTCAGACCTTGCGACAGAGGTTAATTTAATTCATTTCTAGACACTGAGAGAACATTCCAGTGTTACTGTTTTCCAGCCTTCAGGCCCCTAACGATAAATACGTCCAAGTTATGAATTTGCACACTGCTTTGCTGTTCTGACATATTCAGTTTTCACAGTAATAATTTCCTGAAAAATTCTGCAACCAATGATCTTGTATTTTCATTTCAAGGAAAATAAAAATATCAACTTAAAAGAACCTCAAAACTGACAGAACTAATACTTGAAATATTTTATTAGGAACATTTTCATCTGAGTTGCCATGACTGATTTTAATTAATTTAATTATTTCAATATTGATTTTGGTTTCTACTTGTTGGCGTTTTGGTTTCTTTTTTAACTGAACATGGTGCAGCAGTAAATCAAACAGAAAAATCTATTTTGGTTTACATCAGTCCAAAGTTTTACAAGACAGGTAATTTTGCTAAATATTATTAATATGCTGTTTACCTGAAGGTCTACTGTCCACTGAAACTTGTTGATTTGCATTCATTAATTGTGTAATTCTTATTGAGAGTCCTGGATCAGCCATTTCACAGAAGTGCACATTTTAGGCTAAACAACTCCTCCTTGCTTTGATGACCCCACTTCATATTATTCTTTTATTTTTTCACTTATTATTGACATAGATTGGGCGACCTTGAACTCTTACAGAATTTTAATTTTCTTTCCAAAGAATTAAAATATTCCCAGACTTATTCTATGTCTGGGAAAAACTTTCAGAAGGAATAAGAAATAAACATAGAAAGCACTTCATGTTAAGTATTAGCTTAGCCAATAGTTAGTAAGTTGAAAACAAATTCTGAAATTCCAGGAACAATGGAGTTGAACTCACCAGGCGAGCGTGTGGGTTTCGGTGGTAATAAAGTTGTTTATATTCATCCATCCACACTTCAGCTGCACGCACACTGTTTGCCAGAGCTTTGACCCGTGAGTATGGGGCTTGTTTGGGGAAAACATGACCTACATGGGAGCAAGGATGGATCTCAAGACTTCCTCCACACTGCCATATCTGAGCAAAGAATTGACAGTGTGTGTCATTAATTTTGTCTTTTGCAAGCTCAAGGATATAGTAACAATAAGCCTGTGTAAGAACAACACCATCTCAAGAACACCACACCACACTACAAGTAACACATACAATAATTTTGTGTCTCATTTGATGACTAAACTGGATAGAATTACATCCTTGTTGCTCTTAGTAATTTGCTCTGAGTTCACAAGGAGATAATCACTCTCTGGTTTTATCTGGAGTGCAATATTCCTTTCTTAGCTTTATTTTCTCATGATAAGATGTGATCTACCATACAAGTTATGCAGGCATTGTTAGAAAAAATAAATTAAAAGACAAAAGAAGCATGTTTCTTTTCCAAATTAACCACATAAATAGCTATCTCAGAAAGAAACCAGTAACTGATAACTACTTCTTATTAGAAATCTATAGCTCTATGTACCATCTATATATTCTACTGGAAAGCTGACTTGGCAAAGGTAAGCTTCCCATTTGTACATTCACCAATCTAGAAGGGTGGCATAGGTGCCTGCTGATAAAATCTCACCAACCTTTTCCATTGGAAAGCTGGGAAATGTACCCCACACCCAACACATGAGAAGAAAAAGCAAAGTACTTCTATAACTTAAGATGGTCCAACCAACAACAATGAAACAACCTCCCCTATCTAAACTAATATTCCTGCTTGATGCCAAGGAAGTACTTGCACCCAAACGTGGAATTGGCAGATCCCTGCAAACCATCACTCTGCCCTTGTGCTCAGGCTCCTGCTTCTCTGGCTCCCCAGGTTGTGAAATGTACAGCCCATGAGATAAAGTCCAGAAACAACCATCAAGCTGATCCATTAGCCTCAGCACTATGTACACATTTTTGTAATTACATTCTTCGCCTCCGAAAACCAAGGGCTTTTGGCAGCTCATCTACACAGCCACTTTCCCATCACCCATTCTGATCTCAAGTTTGATTACTTGAAAGGAAAGCAGAGCTATGCATTTCCTATTCAATATTGTGTGTGACCACACCATGGCAGATGCCCTGTTTCTGAAGGGTGCCTGCAACAAGGTTTTTGAAATTTTGCCAGATGGGAGGAATGCCGGAGATGTTGCTGTACTTGAACTAACTTGAGGCTGTCACCAATGGCTCTGATGGACTTTCCATAAAAGATTTAGAATTCTCCTCATGTATTCAACCATGCATAAGTGGCAGCTCATCATTCCTTTCTAAATGGAAGACAAAGGAAATTAGCTGGGATAGGCTTAAGGGGTAGAGGTTTGCTCCCTGACAACCTTCTTGTATAAGACATACATTTTTAATTATATGCTATCCAAATAAATACAGCAGGAGTGAAAGATACGAGGTAGCAAATAAAAGCTCTGCTGCTAACAGTGCCAAAAGATCAGTGGTGGGACTTTTCCCATCTCTCTCTCTGGGAGTTTTAGGGATCTAAAAAGATAAAGGTTTTCAGCTTACACAAGATAGGACTTGATTTTAGACTGCTAACTTTTAGTTTGTTTTTTTTTTTTTTAAGTTACTTAGAATTTCTCTAAAATTTCTAAATTTGGAAATCAATGAGTGTCATGTCCATTGATTTGGTTTTGAATAACAACATTGGACTTTCTGCATGGCACAATGCTGTATTTAATTACCAAAGTGTAACCACTCTAATACATATGTTTACTTTTAAAACAGAGTGTTTCTTTAAAGATATAGGTAAATCATTAATCAGCTATAGGGAATATTGGATAATTATTACTTCCTGGATTTAAAATTTTAATTTCTTGTTCTCCACGTGAGGTTTCTTTCCTCTTTTTTGCTGCTTTTCAGGGAAGCAGTATATTTGCCATTTGAACAAAGATGATTAAAGGAATTATACAAAAAATCTAGAATTCTGAACTAATCTTTTAAGCAATTTGCATATTTTCTTAGGTAAGTTACTTTACTGCCATTTTGAAAGCTGCTATGAAACCAACTATCCACTTTCACTTTACAACCTCCTTTTGTGAGATTTATTTCAAAACAACATTTTTCATAATTATTATTTCTATGTTCAAAATTATTTTTTAAAGCTTCAATTTACCATTCAAGATTTGTCAGCAAATATTAAGAGCCATAATTTTATTAGTTTAAAAATTTCCAATGTTATATTCCACATAAGAATTATTAATTCATCTTTATCTACTCTTAAAAAATATATTAGGAACAGATGATAAAGACTACTGAAATAAAAATGTAGTTAAAAAGGAAGCACATGCTTCAGCTCTTCCATGATAAAGTCTGATTTCAAAGGAATGAAACAAATTGACCATACCTCCGCTAAATTGATGACAAAAAGAGAATTCCATAACAGCTGAATTTTTAATAATTAAAGCTCTCTAAAAAATAACTGTTGGTTGCTAAGCAATGCTCATTAAATTCTAAGTATTTCATAAAAACAATACAAAAATTATCTTGTCATCCTATTACAAAAGAAAATTGAATCTACTTCAGCTAAACAATTCCTCAAAAGGAATTGTTTATTCACTTTCATTAATATGGAAAAATTATGACCTCTACACAGAATCAGGTACAAATGAACAGCCATAAAATAAAGCGAGGAATTTAATAGAGAAACTAAAGTTGATTACTAAATGCTAAGTAAGTGGCTCTGCAGAAGATTCTCCATAAAACTAGCTCAACCTTCTCGAACAGAAAAGCACATAAGGTTTCATGCATATTTTGCAAGCTCACGTACATGTAGATCTGTTTCTTTACTAGGTCTGGGTAACTCACAGCTCTCATTATAAAAGCACACATTTTTCCTCCACTTCAATAAGAAAACAAGGTGACATTCCTTTTTTCACTTTCATCTTGATGCATGCAGACTATCGGCGTATTTTCTTTTGCTTTCAGAGACAGATGGTGACATTATGAAAACCTACAGAAAATGTTCACAATTTCACCTTGGGATCGCTCTCCCTGCCAGGGTCTCTGGACAATTGACCTTGTGCTGGGTCAATGAATACTAAAGAATAAAAGCTCTACCAGCTCATTCTAACATGTTAAGACTATCTGTAAGAAATAAAAAACATAGAAAGGATGCTACATCCTAAAAAGGGGCAAAATGTGGAAAACCCTATGGTTCTGCTGCTCTGTCCTGCTGCAATTTTTTCTCGACAAGTTGTGGCTAAGCCCCCAGTGTGGTGCTCATGCACAATCTGCCGGAAGCTGGGTGGAGAGGCACCCCAGACACACAGACTCACCCTGGCTGCTCTCAACACAAGACAGAGTTCCAGATCCAGACAAAAAGAAACAATACAAAAATCCTGGAAGAGAGAAGACCCCAGGTGTTCTGAGGCATATCACCCAGGCTCATGGGCAGGAACATTTTTGAGAAGAAAGACCTTTTTGCACATGGTAGGCTGAAGGACAGACCACAGACATATTAAGCCTTGGTCCAGAAACAAACTTACATTGCAGTGCCACTTGCAGGGCCAAGAGCAAGAGAGGGACAGAAGCTGCAACCAGGTTCCCTTTGCTCTGAGTACAAGAGGGAGAAGATGAAAGAGCATGTTTTGAATCCCTCGGAAAGAGGAGTTTCAATGCCCATTATGCCCATGAAGTGAAATCTTATCCAGCCAAATAGCATTAAGCAATCCAAAATCAAGGTACATTGACTCGATTCTGCATTCAGCACGTAGCCTCCATCTCTCTTAGTCATCGTGCTTTTAGTGAAAGCTTTGTCTTTGTTGCACCTCTCAAAACCACAGAGAATTTCTTCAGCTCAGAATAATAGAAGTGTAAGAAAGAGGAGGCTTGAGGACAAGTCTTTTCATGTCATTGGGAGAGAGTGGTGTTTTTAGAGACGAGAACAACAATAAATTAATTTACAGCAGTTTTGAGTAGTTCTGCTCCTAATTTTCAGGTCTGACAGGTTTAGAAAACACAAGGACAACAACACTAACAATGATTTATCCCTTCCGACCTCTTGGAACACTGCAGGCAGCCAAAAGAACACAGTTAAACAGCATCATAGCACTCTGCTCTGTTCCACAAAAATCCTCTCCACACAGAGCACAAGTACAAGGGCTCCAAATCAAACAGAGCAAAGCATGTTGCGTACAAATACCCAGATGCTACTGGCAATCTGCACTAGGAAAATTGGCCAGGCATATTTGTTGGCCACTGCACAGCCTGTCCTGTTAAATCATTTGTCTCCCAGGAATTGCTTGAACCACCTGCACCTACATGCTGGCTTAGACCTTTGCAGAGTGTCTGTGCACTCTCTCCTGAGGACTCTTCTGCTCCCTTTGTGCTTCTCCTGTGTGCTAGACCACCTCTGAGGCTTCCTCTATCCCATGAGGAGATCTCTGTCCTGCATGCTGAAGGAGTAAAGGCACTGCTCATAAATGCTGCTGCATCCCAGGGAGCCCTGGCTCAGGGGAACCTGTGATGTACAAAATGAGATTGGCTGCCAGAGCTTCATAGAGGTCAATGGCAATGGAAGGGTGGGTCTTCAGCAGCAGCTGGGACTGGGGCACTCTGAGCCAAAAGGAAGGGTCATGCTGCATGCAAGCCTTGGTCTCCCCAAAAGCAAGACACAGAGAGCAGGAAGCCAAGAACTGCATGCAAAATGTGCCATATTAGAGGTTTTCTTCAAGGAGTTGAAGTTCTGGGTACACCGGGACCAGAGACTCCTGCTTCAGAAGGTTCCAGGGCTGATGGAGGTGGGTGAACTGCTTCTCCCTTCAGGTGGAGGCCTGCTGAACTAGACCAAGACTACTGACTAGGCTGTGTTTGGGCTTATGTGCCAGAAACTGTTCCCTAGGTGAAAAAGGAGGTGGTCATGAACTCAGATTGAAGAGCGTTTCCAGCTGAGAAGTCTCCCTCCAGAGAGAAACCATATCAACTCTAAGCCTGTGTTTGTTATTCCTAACAATTTTTGTTCCTTATTTTTATACCCTCTTTTCTACGATTTCTGCACTACAGGCAGCAGGACATCATAACAGCAGCCAGGAAAACTCCATGCTTCTCTGGTTAACACACAGACATCCAGAGAGACAGTCTGCTGATGTCTCCTTTCTCAAGAAAGTGGTTCTGTAACATTAAAATGCTATTTAACCTTGAAATCTGTTGTCACCTGGTAAAAAATCCAAAAATCCTCCTGAACCATGAGTCAATGACTCAGAGAAATGCAAACATGACCATCAAAAATAACAGATGATGGGCAGAACAGACAAGGGTAATCCAGGATAATAAGCTGTGAACTCCATGAAAGCCAAAAGAGGCATCCCTCTTACATCACCACTGGATGGCTTCAATGAGCTAAGTGTGATTTGGGGTAAACCATAGGCAGCCAGTGCTCAGTGGGAATCAGCACTGGTAAAGGTGAGCAGAGGAGAACTCTGCTTTGCTGATCAGCCTGGACTGTGCTGTGTCTCCTCTCTTTTCCTGCTGTAAATCGTTTCCATTACAGCAATCTGACTCACATCTGAGCACTTGGTCATGCCTCCTGTGGGCACAACTCTACAGTTACTGGAGATCCTCCACCTTTTATAACCTTTGTACAAACTTTTTCTGAGGTGAAACAGAAAAAAGCCTTAAAATTAGTACAGGGGCTGCCTTCTGCTGCCCCTCTGGGAACTGCTTGCTCCATCAACCAGAGCAAGAACTCTGAGTCACATCCAAGCACTACAAATCTTCTTCCCCGTGACCTCCTTCAAGCTGCAGGATGTAAACTTCACCCACTAGTATCACAGTCCTTTTTACATTTTATACTACAGCTCAAAACAAAGACATGTATTTAAAAATTGCTTTAAAATGGCTAGTTGGAAGAAAAGTACAGTGATCCTGAAGTGCAAGAACAAGATATTCCCTAAATACTCCCTTCGTAGCACTTAGCTACCTCATTAAGTAAAAGGGCATGAAGAAAGAAACAGGAACTTGTTGTATTCTGAGGAAAAGGAACTTTCAATTAAGCCACCTACCCTAAATGAGAATTCAAGGTTTTCTCCTCCCCAGACTTCCATTCCTGTGTCATAGGAACCAAGATAATCAAAGTACTTCTTGCTCACAGAAAATAATCCACCTGCCATGGTTGGAGACCTATGAAAGAGAATAGAAACTCTGAACTGAATAAAAAAAATACTAAACCAATGTAACAGATAAGAAAATACAATATATTTTTATTTTCTCAGTCTTTTGTGGATACAAAGTAACAGTCAGAAATTTATCAGTTATTATGAGGCCATTTGAATTTAATTTTGCATTAAAAAAAAACATACCTGAAGCAACACCAGAATGTAAAAATATTTTTTCCAATTGCAGTGTCTGTGTGTAAATGAAGAGCCTCTTCACATAACAGAACATTACTTCTTTGTGTCAGAACTGTATTAGTTGGCTCTGAAATTTTAAGTGCTGTATCCTTACATATTTTACTTAAGCAATAATTAAATAAATACTTGTGCTTTCGTAATTAAAACCAACATTCTTGATCCCACTAATAAAAATTAAAAGACTCTCACATTTTAATTATTAAGTAAATATAGTCCCTAAAGAGATTTGTTTTCTTTCTAAGAAAGAAACCATCTGTGTGTTCTTAAATTTTTTACTAAGTTTTGGTGAAAAAAAAAAAATCAGGAGTCATGGCTGGGTCCTCATTGAAGATCATAAAGCCCACAGTGACAGGGATGTACTTCCATTATGGTAGAGTGTGCACATATACATAAATTTTTATTTGTTCAATGTTGTTCCCTATTGTTTACAGTTTTAGGATGACTTTCTTTAAAGTGCCAAGCATATAATGGTGATTAGAACTAAGTTCATCTGGCATTATGTGAATTTTACTAAATTGCTGTTGAGGTAAATATCAACAAAAGCGAGATGAATGATCAATTACACTAAATCTGTCAAAACTAATTTTACCAGCTTTCTTTTTGAAGCAACACTGTCTCACACTGTCATATGTTGTTTCAAAGAATGGAATGAGATGAGACAAGACAGAAGGAAAAATAAACTCCATAACCAGTCAAGTCCTTCTGTCTCCCTCCAGGTCTCTCCAAACCAGGCTGTTGGTGACACCACTCCCAGCACTGCTGCTTTCTCCAGACACTTGTCGAGCTCCCAGTCCTCAGGCTACCCTGAAACTTTATCCCCCATCATTTTCTTCTTGGCTTGTCAAACACAATTCTTCTTATCATGAAGAACAAAGGCATCATATTTGAACTAAATGTTTTAAAAAACATTTAATCAATTTGTTTTTTGTTGTTTTTTTTTAAGGATGACATGGACTAATACTTGCTGAGAAAGACTCAATTACTACCTCACTTTTCTCATTTAAAAAAAAGTTCATTCTGCTGAGTATAAGTACATTAATACACGTGAAATACTGGGAATTAATATCATGATAAGCAACTTAGAAAAGACTGAGAAAAATTAGTAATTCTGTATTTTTTGTGGTCTATAAAATAACAGATAAAAGTACTAACAAAATGACGGTATTAAAAATGCCAAACAGGTTAACTGACTTCAATAAACTGCTGAAATACAGAAACTTCCATAGCAGATGGGGCTAGGTTGAACATGGCAGATCCTCAGCTATCAGGATCTTGTCTACCATTCCCATTTTCCAGATGCCTTGTCTGTTCTATTCTCTTACCTCTCTTAAATATACAATGTTGAGTGACAAACAATACCAACTGATGGCATCTTATCTTAAAAGAAAACAAAACTAAAACCCATAATGAAGACATCAGCCTGAGCTCTGCAAGGTAGTCCTTCACAGAAACCATAGTGGAGAGAACTGTATTGTTTCACCCCTGTAAAGAGCTGGCAAAATGGTTCACCTTTGAAAATAGCACCTTTCCTTCACAGAAACCATAGTGGATAGAGCTGTATTGTTTCACCCCTGTAAAGAGCTGACAAAATGGTTCACCTCTGAAAATAGCACAGTGAACTACACAGCACAGGAAAAAATCTTCAAAACTGCTTTTTTAGTTGGCGATTTTTTTCCCTTTTCATCGTTGCCCATGATACATTTCCTCTACAACACAGAGCTCTTTGCACAGAGGGCATCCTCTGGTATTAGTTAATCAGTTACACTCTTTCCATGTGCTGGTAAGCATCTGTAAGAGTTTGTCTAGAGGAGTCAAGAACCTACTTTGCAATAGGCTTTCCATATGGAAGATAAAACAGCATTTTCAGCTTTTAGAGCATTATTTTTTTCCAGGAATATGGTAAACAGGAGCTATTTTGGAAAAAATGGGGAACTAAACAAAAGACGTACTTTTTAGTAATATGTTCATTTCCCAAATATCTTTCAGCACCTGGCATTTTCAGGTGAAATCAAAAACACATGCACAGTTTTGAGGATGCATAAAAATTAACCTGATCACATCAGTCTTGGACTTCCTCCGTTTTTGTTCTCTTTCAGGGATACTGTGCCAAGTGAAGACCAGGCGCCAATCAAATCCACCAATCTGTGGCTCACCGGCATTTCCCAAGTACTCAAATGTGTTCCAGTCAATAACATCAATAACAGGGCAGACAACAGCTGTTTCTTCTTCAGCAATCCTGGTAAGGTTTTAAAACAAAAGGGTGACTTCCTTTAGAAACATCTCTAAAAATAAAAAAAAAAAAAACAAACAAACCAAAACTAGAACTGACAGGAACAAAAAATGCTTACAATGCCAAACATGAAGTTTTGCTCCTTTTCAACTCATGCTGCAATAACAAGGAAATATGATACAATAAATACAAGAATAACCCCCATTTTCCTACATCAGGAGGATGTATCAGGATGGACGCCACTGGCAAGCATCAACCTTCCTGGATGGTGGAAGAAAGATATGCCAGATGGATTGAGATAACACATTCAGCATCTGGCTTGGCTGCCATAGCCAGCACCACTTTATCAAGAAAAAAAAATGTTCATTTTCTTTTGTACAGGTCGCTGTTTAAGAGAGCAGTTTTACTGCATACTTCCGCAGCGATGAATAACAAACCAGCCAGACTCTTGGCCCTTGAAGTCATGGCTGTTCTTGTAACTGTGATCATCTGCAAATGTTGCAGTGAGTACTGTAACAGTAACTCAAAAAGAAGCCCTGAGCTTAGAAAAAACCAAACCTGCAACATGGGAATTAGACCTCCAACAATGAAACATAACTGAAGGAGGCCTCAAGAAACCTTGGCAACATAGGAGATGAAAAAGAGAAACAAGATAGCACTGCAGAATGACATTCCTAATACAAGGGTGATCTAAAGATAGTCCAGATCTTTATCATAACACGAATACATCAGAGCTGATGACATTTCTTGCAGGTTTACTTCTACAAGGAGATAAATCCCTTCCTCCCATTTCTCAACATCATGCAGGGTTTTCAGGATTCCTTTCCAAAAGGATTCATCTTTATAGGAAGCAGTGGGATTATCAGCCTTCTCCTCACCTTCTAGAATGCCCCCCCTCCTCAGTAGTGGGAGCAACATCAAGCACACAAACTCAAGCCAAGGTCTTTCTCCTAAATCACGGTTTAGCATCTTCCCTGTTCTAGTTAGACACCCCCTGATAGTTCAGTGAAATGAAGTAACTTGTTTCACTTAGAGATGCAGATATACATTTTAGCCTTGCATCTTGTATTTGCATGTTTCAGAGGTGAAGGAAAACTGAGCACATTATATTGTCAAACAAGTAAGAGATGCACTACATCTGTAATCCAAAGGGAGCTCATTCCTCATGGGATTGTTAGGCTAAAAATCTGTACACTGACCAATGGCTCATACTGTGAAATTAGAGTAGCTTGTGATGGTTAAATGCAGCAGAGAACAGCAGCAATTACAAAGTAGTATTGTCTGAGCTGAGAAAGACTGCCCAAAGTGTGAAATGGCCTATTGTGGCTGGAGGGAATATGTGAAACAGCTGTTTTCTTCTTTATGATCTCCCGTTGAGACCTTGTTTGGTAGAGCACAAGAAAGGGCTTATACAAATATTGTTATCTCCTGTCTCACTTGCATAAAACTTTGTACAAATCTTCATTGTACAAAGCAATGAAAATGATATCCACATGTAGAGAAAAAAGAAAAAAGATCAATAAAAAGTAAAAATATTTCCCTCCTCCTGTAACAAGTAGGAAAACAAGCAAAAAGTAGGTAGCTGGCATATGATTTCAATTATGAAAGGAGTGAAGTAAGTGAAAAGTCATCACTTTTTCTGTAAGTTGAAAATTAGCTAGATGGTACAATGCACAGGCAGCTTACAAATACAGCTATGTTTGCCCTGCAAAATGCTAACACGATGGTATTGCTGCCATACATTTGAGTCAGATATGCCGCAGAAAAACCCCTTAGAGATGCATGTCTGCATCTGCAGCAAGAACGGCAGGAATTCCAAGAGAGGGCTAACTTTTTACAGGTGGTGACAATTGCATTTTAAAAAATCCCAATCCTTCCTCAAGATTGCCATCTAGTGGTGCGCTAAAGAAGTGAAGAAATCACAGACTTTCCCCTCATCACACACTTTTTTAGTTAAACCTATGCCCATGATTTGAGGTTTATCCCCTTTCCTTTCTTCACGCTATCATACCTACCCCCCAGTTATCTGGAATACACTCACTGTGAAATTTAGAAACAAGGTAAGTATGACAAGAAAAACAAAAACCTGAAGTTGTATTCTAGATACAATTTCAAAGGGACATGGGGAATTTGGGAACACAAGTCCCACTAGGAATCAGTCAGACTTGCACACATCAAGACACTTTGTGCTTTTGGAAGTCTCTCTCCAGTTTGTATTTGGGGTGAGTTTTCTGGTCCTTTTCTGCATCTGGTGGGAATCTTAACAGGATCCAAGACAAAACACTGGCCTTGAGGAAAGAATTTTTTTCTTCTTTTATATGTTTTAAGGAAAGCTGTTTTTCTACATACAACATTTTGGAGGTCTGATTCAGGTCCTGTATCTATCAGTACCTACTAATGGCATCCAAGGGGGTAAAGCCATGAGCTGTTAGCAAAAGGGGCAAAACCAACAGAGCCTTGCAATGTGATTCAGGAGCAGCAGGTGCCGCAGTGAGGTGCCAGTGGCTGAGCCCATAGCAGGAAAAAAGTCAATGTATGGCTGCTGGCTACACATGGGTGAGGCTTCAAGAACATAATAAATATTCTCAGCTGAAACAGAAGGCTAGTGTTCTAGTTTCTAGGGTTTTTTTGTTAGAGTTTTGGGAAGGTTCCTTGGTTTTTTTGTTGTTTGTTTGCTTGCTTTTAATTAACCAAAGTTTTCTGAACAGCCTGACGGATCTGCAGAATTAACAAGAGACCACACAGGCACAAAGTACAGTGTCCCAGGACAGATGGTTTCCAAACAAGAGTCAGTGTTGACATAACATTTACTCCTCCCTATCCTACACCATGATGCTGTATGTCAGAAGCAGTCTGGAAAGGTGGATTTGCTCAGGACTAAGAAGACGGAGTTTATTGACTTGTATTATGCAGACACTGCCTTGCAGGGCACACATCTTTCCAGACCTTCTGCTCACCCAGGCTGACAGAAATAGCCCTCTTTACCAATGTAGTTCCAAAGCTGGAGGTGAGGACTCGTCGTCTTGAAAACCAAAACTTTCCAGCTGCTGAAGAGGCAGCTTGGTCCTCAGGGAAAAAAAAAATAAAACAAACAAAAACAAAACCACAAAAACAAACAAGCAAAAAAATTCAAAACCCACCATGCCATGATCTTTCAAACTTCCATTTGTATTTGCTCCCCCACAGCCAGGAGACAAACACCAAACACTGGCAGTGCCTCAGGGACCAGACTGTAGTAACCTTTGGTGAACCATGAGTCATTTTTCCACTTCAGAAATGGGCCAAACTGTCTCGCCCCTTCTTCTCCAATGGGAGAGAAAACCCGCCCAGAGCACAAGCTCACCTTGCCAGCAGTGGCTCCAGCCAGCCCTCATGGCATTCACAGTGGCAGTCCAGGAACGTCAGGATGTCTCCTTTGGCCACAGACGCCCCCAGCAGCCGGGCTCGGACCAGCCCCTCCCTCTTATTTGCGCGGATAAGACGCACCTTGCGTAGGCCAGCCACGTAGTTTTCCAAAGTCTCCTTTAAATGTTCTGTAACAAGCCAAAAAAAGAGGGAATAATACACTCTGAAATTATTTGTTTATGTCTTTCTATAGGAAGCTCTCTCCTCACTAGCATTTTACTTATAGAAGGCTCTAAAGATTGTGGTACTTTGAACTCAGATCTGGCTCTGCATGTTTAGAAAGGACATGAAAAAAGCACAAAACCTGGATTTGAACATAAATCACAGTTACTTTTAAGAAATTGAATGCTTCACATTTACCTCTGTAATACATCCCCAGCTCAATAAGAGCTTCTCAAATGTTACTTAAGACTTTCTGTATAAAAGTTTTATTCTTAACACAATTCATGTGTGGTGGAAAATGCCAGCATTGCCTTTATGTCCCGTTGTTCAAACAAGACCAAAGAACTAGGTCACTGTCATTATATGAGACACCAGGGGAGCGTTGGTGCAATCGAAACTTGCTCAATTCAGGAAACCCAAAGTGCTCTGTTCAGACTGTAGTCTATCTATACACACAAGCACTCATGTTACAGCACAGCAAATGTGCTTCCAAACTAAATTTGGTACATAAGCCAAATTTTTCAATGGCACACTACAAGAAAAACTTTTTCAGTGAGAGGCCTTTGTTGTACAGTTTTCTGTTATGTGACCTGAACAGCATCACTCTTTCTCCTATGAACTGGCTGACCAAAAAAGCCCATCAACAATCAATATTATTTAGACTTATTCTTCCTACCTTTGTCACTGTAATCATCTACAAGGATAATTTCTTCCAAAAGTATATCCGGAGATGTCTCAAGAACACTGTGAACAGTTCGCAGAAGCGTTGACCAAGCCTCGTTATAAAAAGCTATCACAACAGAGGTTTTTGGCAGGTTATAATAATCATATTTCTCCTCTCTGCATCTGTAAAGGCGGGGGGATAACATTTAGTAAAAGTGCAAAAGCATTTTTTAATTTTCAGAAAACAAGTCTCAAATCCATTTGCATGCTAGTTACTAACTGCAAGCAAGAACACAGAATGGATCTTAAAAGAAATGCATGTGTGTGGAAAATTGTATGAGAAGACATTAGGAAGTTGCTCTTACAGAGGTTCCATTTCCACAGAAGCATTATGAATAAAATTCTGCAAACTATCAAAATGTCTAAAAAGAAAAATAATAGGAGGTATTCTGGGCTGGTGTAGCTGCAGTAGCTGTCTTCGCACAATTTCAAATAGAAGAACAGGTAATGAACAAAATGTGCCTCAGATTAAAGGGAAAAAAAAAGAAATGTAAAACCTAAGTGCAGTAAAAACAGTAACATAAACTGTTGCTTTGGAAAATAGAACAAGTGCTAGACAGTAAAAATACGACTGTGAAGGAACAGCAACATATAAAGAGGAAAAAAAAACCCAAACCAAACAACCAGCAACAAAACTGAAATGTATGCACACTGAAGCAGAATTTGGAGAGACCACACAACTGGCAAAATCTAATAGTGAAATCCACGGAAGCGTAAAACAGATATAGAAATGCATGGTTTTGGCTCTATGGAGAGCCAGAAAGTTTGCAAACCTTTGGATTAAGCTCCAGAATGTATTTCCTATAAATATATATATGAACTTCCCTAAATGAACATAAGGATGCCAAGAAAGTTATAGCTGAGCCAAATGTATAAATTCTTAAAAGAATCCCCTGGTTTAGAAGAATTTTAAAAAAACGATGGCATCTTCTACAATTTCTCCTCTTTGCTCAGAGCATTCCATATTGGCAGCTTTTATTGCCTGCAGTCAACAAGGCTTGTAAGGGGCAGAAGGACAGACTTTAACTTCTGTAGACTGCTAAATCACAACAGATACCAAGGCAGGTAGCAGAACAACAGTGAGTCCTCCAGAACCTGTGCTATGGGGAGCTGAAAAGGGAAATTAAAACTGATCAGTAGAAAATGCAATAGGAAAATACCTTAGGTCAATTTAGGGGCACAAAAATTCCCCAAAACACTAAGAAAACTATATTAGATGAAAACTGCTTACCTATAGCACATTGAGAATATTTTAACAAACTATTTATGTCTGCTGTGTCTGCATTAAAAAAGGCTTATAGGTTTCTTTGGAGATTAGGCAGTATCTATTAAGATCAGTTGTACAGAAAGAAAAAAAATCTGAATCTGATTGTGCCTAATATTAAAACTCTTATGAAGGAAACAATAAGTCTGTAGAGTAGTTCTGTAATAAATACATGAAAATGAGGAAGCAACAGGACAAATGACACTCAGGCAAAGGAGGCACCCAAAGGCTGCTTCTCAAACATGGCAGGAACGCCCCGTGACAACACGTGTGCATACAGACATATATACATAGGTAGTACATATAGACACACACATTGATACAGTGAAGGACAAGAATGCCTGTCCCTCCAGGCTGTAACTTATCCTGAGGGGCTTTTACAGAGGAACTGTCTCACACCAACACCTGGTGACAGAATTGATTTATTTAGCCAGACATTCATGTATTGACACATAAAAAGGAGTGACAAGTGACATTTTAATTAACTTCTTTAATTGTAATGCAGAAAAACCCAATGTATGAATCCAATTTTAGAAATACATATTTAATTTAGCCTACTAAAAAACATTTCTGCTCAGTACTGCCAGGAAAAAAGAATCCATATACATCAGTCACTTGTACCAGGTAATTTTGAGTTAATTTCTTGATGGAAATAGGATCGCTACATACCCAGTTTAGAAAGCTGAAGGAAAATATAAATAAATAAATAAATAAATATACCAGGAAAGCATTCTTTGAAAAATATGTCAGGAATATTCATGGGAAAAAAATGCTGTATTCAATTTAAAGAAAGGAAACTTAAAAGGTCTAAAGAAGCTTAGAAGTCTAATTATAGATTAAAGACTTCAATGGATTTGCCTGAAATTACATGCTGGAGATGGAAAACATAATTTGGCACAGAGCAAGGCAATCCCCACACTGTTTGTGATTCACTGTGCATTGCTGCCTCCTTCCTTGAGCACACCCCACACTGCAGGAAAAGGTCAGCCTACTACAAGACATACCAGAACACACGTTTCTTAGGTTTCCAAAGTCAAGAAAGAGGCCAGCACTAAAAAATGGGTTTAATTTACCAGCTCTGTGGTGGAAGGCAGCACAGGAGTGAAGAGAAGTGACCCACCATGGTAGCAGGGCAGGCTGCTGGCCAGCACGGCCACCCTGACCTGAGCAGTACCCTGATGCCCTTACTAAAAAAACAAAACCAAAACAAAACAAATTAAAACAAAACCAAAAAAACCCACCCATATTATTCAACTTCTGTGCAGATTTGCATGTTTATCTCAGATATTATTTCCAAGACATATTTCTCGCTAAAGTGCCAGAAGATCTCAACTGTTAGCAGTCTCAAACAGTGTTGCTAAAGTAAAGCACACTTTTCCTTATCTTTCTGCAATGAAAGAGTTTCACTAAGCCTTAAAAATTAATCCCATTCGGGAGATTACAAACCCAAAGCATTTAAACCCTGGAAAAATTATAGCAGAAGAAAATCTTTAAAAGCTAATGAATCCCTGAAATGGAAATGCTTGGCAGTGTTGCTGAATAACAATTAAATGGTATGCATATGGACACTAAACATCATCACTTCACAAGATATAAAAATTTTAAAAAACCCACTACAAGTACAAAACCTGATTGAAAGCTTAGTGGTCATAACTCATCTTTTCCATTCCTCAACTCCTGTTTACCACAGAAATGCCTCAGCAGTCCACCTTCTGTATTCACACTTGCAAACTTCAAGATGTACTTTCATTATCCATGTGTCAGCCAAGCATCCCAGCTCCTACTTTCCAACTGAATCATTTCACTCCTACTTTTGGATTATTCAGAAAAACAAATGCATATCAATTACAGTATGCCTTTAAAATGACAGCAACTGGTGACAGCAGTCCCAAAATATGTTTTTGCACACACTGGGAACATCTATTTATGCATACTATACTGCAACCTGCTTTCAGCTTCTGAGTAGGGCACTCTTTAGTGCCACCCTCAAACTCATAACACTGTCCTTTCCAATAGAGAGGATCACGTTAAGACAGTTTTAATTGCATCTCACATTATTCATCCTAAAAACTACTTTTGAGCTGATCATCTGGGTTATGCAGGTCCATAAAGACAGATCCAGAAGGCAACTCGCCTCACCCTCCTTAAGCCATTGATCCAGCACAGCCCAAGAGACCTCAGCGGGTCCCTCTTGTCTATAGAGGCTTGATTATGGAACATTCCTTAACTTTTCTGTGAATAAAGTTACATGCGGTCCCTTCCACTGGCTGTGATACATCACTTTGAACCTAGTCATCATAACTACCAAATGGTTGGTAAAAACATAACACAGACAGAAGGAAATTAGTTGCCTGTAAGCGTGACATTTCCAAACATGGAAAATAAATGCAGATGCATTTGAAGTCCAACATTCCTTCACAATTCTCCTTATCTTATTCAATCACAGGAACTTTACTGTTTTATAATAATTTTGCAATTTGTATTTTAAAATAAACAATTACCTAAATTAAAAATGGCATGTTGTGCATGTTGAGTGGGCTCATTTTCTTCAGAGAAGCACACATATCTCTAGTCAATCTGATTTTGGTAACAGTTATCAGATACCAGGATCAGTCACTGAGGAAAAACCTGTTGCCAACACATCCAAGAGGCTTTTCTAGAGGCAACAAAATAAATGCACGTAGCTTTAAACAGGACTCAGATTTCAATGGCAAACACTGATATATAATGAATAAGAGGCACAACAGGTATGGCAATGCAAAGGAGTGACACCTGCTCAGTCTCTGCCCTCTGGTCACATCTGCTCTCTGCAGATTCACTAGAAAATGCACAAGCAGAAGCGTCGTGTAGGAATGTGCCCCCTGTTGATCGAATGACAAAACTAACCTTTGTCTCCTTCAAAAGGAAAAAAGCCCAGAAGTTTATTTCCTCAATTAGCAAAAAAAGGCACCTGACAGGACCTGGGGGACTTCACCTCAAACTTAAGGATAGCAAATTGGACAGAAGCCAAAAAGTCCCACCTGAGCAATTTACTAGAAAAAGAACAAAGAAGTAATTGCTTTTGTGAGGTGTTTTACCAGGAGCAAGAACCTCTTGCACCTGGCTCAGTTTATTCTCTCTAAAGAGTTTTGTTATTTTGCCTTTTATTAAAACTTTTTTTGTTTCCCACACTATCACAGAAGCCATCTTGCTGATTTTATGCCTTCTAAGGTAACTGAGCTATCTTGGGTGTGAAACAGATCTCCAAGAGCTTATGAAACCTGGCTGAGGAGACCAATATTTCAGCCTTGTGCACAGTAGAGTGACAGACAAAACATGGCCAGGAGTGCCCCAGCCATCTTCCAAGGAGCAGACAGGAACACTACGATGCTCCAGCATCATCCTTCATTTCCCTTAGGCACTTTCTGCCACACTGGGTGGCTGTTCCAGGGACCCTCCTACTTTATCACTGTGGCATAAGACAGGCATAAAACAAACAAAAGCTTTGTCTTTTGGCATTTCTTAGTGATTTACACTAAGACAACATCTATATTTTAGAATTCTTAATGTGTTCATCCATAAATCTTTAAACTTCCCAATGGGAAGAAAGAGAAAATAATGCTGAACATAAACCATGTTCACTATGTACTGCCCTTTCTCTATGTTTCACTACAGCTTCTACTCAAACATCTAAGGCCACAAAATGCAGACTGAAGCCAAACATATAAAAGTGCATCCTCACACATCCAAATTCCTGTGGGGTTTTGGTTTTGCCTTTTTTACACTGCATTTTTAAATCACAGTCTAACCAAGAGTAAACAGCTGACAAGTTTAATTTATTAACCTTGGAATCTACTACACTACACAGTCTCCTGTTAGCAAGTTTTACAATAGGTTATTTATTAGAAACCAAGGAGACATCACTCAGGAAATGCCTAAACAAAATTAAATGGGTTGTTTTCAAGAACATTTGTGTCAATTAATGTAATCACTCAATTTATTTCTTTGTAAAGAGCTGTTTCTCTAAGAGATGTGTATCTATACACAGGGAGAGAGCATGAATGTGTGCACACTGGGCGCACTGCCATGAGTTAATTAGGAATGGTTGCTGACATGCTCTTACTTGAGACTTTCACCACAACTGTGACAATGATACAGAAAGGGAAAACAGACTTTCAATCTCCAAATATGATCTTCTATATGCACAGTTACCTATATTTTAACAAAAAAGAAAAAGAAATGTTCTCTGAGTTTTCAAAGATTTGTTAAGAACACAAACTGCTCATCAATTATTTAATGCTTTCAGAAGGTATACTATGTAAGTTTTGGTTTTCAAGTTTCAGTCTGAGCGCCCCAGGCAAGTTCAGGATTGCGCAGCTTCTCTCAAGAAATGCAAAACAGCACGTGTCACTGCTGAAGCTGATTTATTTAACTTGATTTATGTGACTACACTAGGTGACATATACACCCCATCCCAGTGGCACCTGGAAAACACTGCCAGGGCTCTACTTCAGGCTGGCTTTCACACGATGGGCTAGGAACCAGGTTGGCTGGGTTTGTTGTGATGGACCATAGACATTCTGACCTACCTCACAGCCTCCTTTCCTCTTCCTAATTTAAACAGCTAAAACACCAACTTAAACTGCTCTTTCAGTGAGAGGTGTGCTCAAAAGGGGCATTTTGTAGGCTGCAATAAATGAGGCTGATGGGGATGAATGGCAGCACCTCAATCTAGTCTCACCATCTTCACTCCCACTCCATAAACTGCAGAGGCAGCAATGTGGGCATTGGAATCTGCCAAGTACCTTCACCCAAGAGAAAGCACCTCCTTCTCTCACTTTCCCAAAGCCATGGCACAGGACACAGCAGCACTGGGATCTTCTATCTGCACATCCATCCACAAGCACCCCGAGCCCTGCTGTGTGACACAGGGGGCAGCACTGGTTTCTAAGCCACCCCACAGTGACCAAGGCTGTGTCCCTCACTCCAGGCTGAATACATAGTTGAACCCCTCACCCCTCTGTGTGGGAGAGTAATCTAAGGATAAAATGCAGCACACGAGCCAAAAGCAACACCTCCCAAAGCCTGGGATACAAAAGTGCAACATCTCCAGTGGAATTAAAGGATATAATAAACACTATTCTCATCTCCTACAAACAGTACCCAACTTTCCATGCCAAATTTATTTTGTCACATAAGACTACCTTGATCCAACTGCCAGTTACAGGGATTTTCTTCTTCTTTTTTTTTAAATTAAAAAAGGTTTATCTGGGCATGGAGAGGCTTCACCTGGTTTTGCACATCTACACAAGCCACGTGTTCAACTACTGCAGAAAGAGGCATTGAAAGTTTACAGAAGGTGTGTCTTGGAGTGAGTAGCAAAGCACACAGCAGCAAAGTGCTGATAACTGGAAAAATGGCCAGATTATTTGGGGCAAGGCTGGAACACATAAGCAGGTGAGTTCAGGATGCTGGCCTACACTTCCCCACTGCCTGTCCCAGCCCAGCAGGCTGGCTAAAAGCTCCCTAAATTATATCTGCTGAAACAAACCATATTAGAGAAACCACCCCTCTACAGGCCACAACACTGTGATATGATCAAGTCTCTGGAAACTGAAGCTGGTTTGATTGTGAAACAGTTTTCCAGGTTATTTAACATTCTGCAGAATGATTCTCCCAATGACAAGAAGGTACTGACAAGACTGACTGCCAAAAGCTGTCTTAAGATTTCAGATAATAATGGGCTGTGCTGCCTTGTATACAAACATTGTGAGAAGCAAGAAAGACACAAAGTCTGAAACAGAAGAAAATATTTGTTAAGAAGTTAGGGGTTGGGAAGGAGGGAGTACAGAAAGCAAATCTCTTTAAGAAAGATCAAATATATATTAAGAAATAAATGTCTAGAAAGAACAAGTAAGAGAATTTACTAAGTCTGTATCCTAAAATCCACAAATTTAGGAAATCCATAGAGCCTCCTAAGTCCAAATTGTTAGAGAAATACTAAAGAATTTCCTAACTCACCCAGATTCTGGATGTCCAGAGGAGAAGGAAATTCTGTATGATACAGTGGGAAAACCCACTTGATTTTCATTTTATTTTGCTGAACTGAAACAGTGGTTGCATTTTCCTCAAATGTTTTCACTTTTCTTCCAAGATAGTGTGATACACTTAACCTTTCCACAGAGACATACTATTTCCTACACCTACATTCAAAAACTTACTTTAGTGTGAGTAATTTGATTCATGACAAGAAAAAATATTTTGCAAAGCCATAACTGAAAGAAGCTATTGTATTCATCACTACAAATAAGGTGTGGATGCACCTGATCCTTATAGACAATTGTTTAAATGAAAGCAGCTTTTGAATTTAAAAAAAAAAAAATCAATTTTTGCTTACTATCAATCACTGATCTGGGAGCTTTTTCAATTTAAAAATTAAATCAGCTGAAACCAAGCAATAATCTAGATGTCAAAGGAAGTTGAGGAAGTCTACCAGAAGCTGGAAAGGAAAGCGGTGAAAAATAATCATGTGAGCTCTTCTGGAAAATATTTGCTGGGGGTTGTTAAAAGCATAATGACAATGAAAAGTGACACATTTTTACAGATGACAGGAAACAGAAGTAGCAAAGTATCCTGAATATCAAAGCAATAGTGGAAGCATTGCTTCATTTTGTACTGCAAGCTTTTATATTTTAAAAAATAAAAGCAAAAACAAACAAAAAACCCCAAAACAAACAAACAAAAAACCCAAAAAAACCCAAATATAGTGAAGAATTATTTTTACCCCACTTACTGTCTGAGGAAAGAATGCAATGTCCTAGAGAAACATTGCTTTGAGGGTCTAAAGCCTGTTTATATATTAAAGAAATCCTGCCAACTAACACTAAAGTAATGACTAAAAGGTATTATAATTAATATTGTTACTAGTAACCAATTACGTATTTCCAAAAAGCTCAGAAATCAAACCAAAAATCCTAACACCAAACAAGCGACCACAGTGTTCCAAAACCACTACACCAAACACACTTCCAAGTGTTTAATGCAAAGCCTTGGCTTGCAAGAAGTCGTGTGCTGTGTCTCCTGATCAGACACAAAGCTGGGAGCACCCGTGCCAAAGCCAGCTCCGGGCACAAGGTGCACCATCAGGTGATGGTTTAGAGGGAAGGGATGTGCCAGAAAGGTCAAGCTGCTGCAGATCACCTCTTCAAAGGGCTCTATTTCCTATAAGCACAAAAAAAAGGAAAAAATTAAAAAAAAAGAAAAAATATTAAAAGCACTGCAGTTATTTCACCTTTAGTAAGAGATGAAAGAGAAGCTCCTGGGTGAAGTCAGTCTTTCACTGTGGGCTGAAGAGGGAAACACTCAGCTGCTGCTACACCTTTTCCCAGAACAGATCAGGTTAAAACTCCTGGCAGGAGTAGCTGTGATTTTTGGAGTAGAAAAGGAACGAAAACCTAGTACCAAGGCTTATTCTTGGAACTTGCTACTTGCTAGCAAGATACTATCAGAGAAACATCCTGGTATAATTTAGTATTTACAGCCCAGAAAACAAAACAAACCACAGAAGAGAGACTTCGGGAGAATCAAATTCAATTATGGGAACAGGAAAAACAGTATTGAAAGACAAAACAATCTTAGCACAAGATTGTTTTGGTAAAGTCAAACATAATATTTCCCCAAAATAAATAAAATCATAGGCATAAATGGTGGTGGCAGACGAATTTGAGCATTTGTGTATATCCAGCTATCTATACAAAGACACTTGAAGATGTATGGACAGACACTTAAACATATACATAAAATCACACATATAAAAAAAAATATTTAAAGAATCTCTCCAAAACACAAAAGATTACCTAGAATTAAAGAACAAACCTCTAAAACTTTTTTTTTTAATAGCTGAAAAATACTATGCAGATCACATTCAATATTTTGGGGGCTTTTGTGGCTACTTAGGAAAGACCGGAAAGAATTAAAAATCCATTTCCTTGTGATCACAAGTAAAATGAGTCCCAAGGGCTGAATCAGGCTTCTACCATGAAAGAGAAAACATGAAATGCTGAGTCAGCACAAAAATGCCTGGTCCTGACTTGCTCCTTTTGTACCTAGAGTCAGCTGAAAGGCAACTCATGTGCTTTGACAGAAACTATCCCCAAAATAAGTGAGCAATGCATCCCTACTGTAATACAGAAAGAAAAAGCAGAATGCCTAAAATCTGAAACAATGCTTGAAAACTGCCCTTAATCTAAAAGAACTCAGGTAGAAAAACTGGAAATGTAATTCTTACACCTTGTAATAAGCTGTAAAAGCCTAAGTGAACAAATCAGTTGTCTGCCAGCCCTACAGTCCTGTAAAACAAGCACACAAGGAGAAGCCCATGGGACACAATGCTGACGTGTTGTTGCAGGGGGAGGAAGGCAGAGCAGCAGCAGCAACAGCCAAACCCATGGCCCCAAGCTCATCACACCCACTTACAGAGGGGCATCAGACCCAACAGGGCCCTCAGTAAGTCCAAGTTTGACAGAAGACACTTGCTGGTTTTAAACCTCCTGCAATTGTTGCTCACTTTATGAGTACAAATTCAAGAAATGAAGGGTAGATGTTGGGAAGACAAGCTGAGCCATCCAGACAACCTTACGATCAGGGGACAAAAATAGAAATAAATCACTGTGGTAGTGATTTTGCATGTAAAGAGGTGTTCAAACATCATTAAATTTCCATCCCTGGAGGCTTCAAAGTTGGACTAGACACCTCAAAGTTTCCTTCCGACCTCCATCCTTCTCTGACCCAATGGCTTATTTCACTTCTAGCCTTGTACAAACTGTATCATCATTTATTAACTTACATTCTTATCCATCAGATTCTTCCAAATGGAAGAATTTTTCTAGATTATTTATACATAATGTTTATTTGTTTATATGTATACTTTCAATAAAACTAAACAAATCCTGTGTGATGAAACACATTTTCAGTTGCTGATGTCAAGCTCAGACAGTTAAAAGAAGCAGAAATTGTCTAAAGGCAACAATTGTAGCTGTCAAGTTCTTTGGGTCTGTGGGTCAATAGAAACAGAATCAGTCATCACAAAAAGCAAGTTACAGTGGTGGGAACAAGAGGGAACAACAACTTTCTGAATATTTTCACTGTCAGGAATATATTAGTAGGAGAAAGGTCTAAATTGAAAACCTCTTGGATTCATAGTCAAGTATCATCAATCAATACATTACTTGAGAGAGTAATCTCAGCCAGACTGTTCTTCTCTTCCTGTACAGTATTACCAGACATACATATTAGCAAATACCTGCCACACTTCTGTTCCCATGGCAGGTCCAGGATGTACAACATGCAGCAGTAGGAAAAGATTTTTGGCATGAGTTTTTGACACAGCAACACCTTGTGCAATCATTTTGCATATCACATTTAACAGCTTACTGGCTCAGATTCTATCTTATTAGCAAAACTCTAGTTTTCATTGGATTCAAATGTTTTCGCCAATTCACACACAGAGAGTGGATTCATTGATCAGTGTGGGAGGACATTAACATCAAAAGGACCATTGGGGCATCCAGGTGGTGGTAATGCTGTTTCTGTTTCCCTTTTATTCTCCCACCTTTTTGGTATCTAAAATGTCCAGATTGCCTCTACACACACAAGAATATGCTGAAACAGACCAAAAGCCCATAGCCCAGAACAGAGTCTCCAAGCATAGATCAATACCTCCTGAATATTTGATTTAAATTTTTTAGTGGATGGACTATGCTTTACAGGAAATGGATTTATGGAACAGGAAGGTGGCAGAATTTGTTTTATCCATTTTCATGCATCAACCATGTATTGCAGGAATCCTGCAGGAGATACACTTCCAGCAGGCCCCATGTCTTTTAGGCTGAAAACCTGTAAATTAGTCACTTCTTTATGAAAGCCATGCTGTAAGTTGAACTGCATTGAGTCCAACACAGATTTCTGTGGGACATTATCTTTGCTCTTTAAAACAAACAAAAACCAAAACTAACCAAACAAAAAAACTGAAAAAAACCACCCAAAAAACCCCCAAAACTGCTTTGCAGCTTCTACTCAGTTATTTATAAATGCAAGGAATTTCGACATTATTTCACAGTTGTTTAAGGAACTCATCAAGTAACAACACACATTTTTATCCATATAATTACGACCTTCAAAGAACTCATATAGATTTGTAAGACACGTCATCCTTGACAATAGCCTTGTTGACTTTCTCAACAGATCACACCCTCCTATCTGTTACTAATTCTTTCCCTTACCACAGTTTGTAGATAACATGCCTGGAAAAGATCCAAGGATTGCCAGCACACAGTTCTCTGGTTCTCTGCTGGCACTCCACTAAAAAATGGTGTATTTGTCACCTTCTGGTACCAAAGTTGTCTCGCTGATCACATCTAAAATTCAGCCTTTGCATGATTTTGGTGGACCGCTGAAGTCTAGTTGCCATCTATCATTACTGCTTATTTCCCATCATTGTGGCCTCACCCATTAATAAAACGTTCATTAAAGGTCATAAATAGTCAAGCATTATCTATCTTAAAATAAAAAAAAAAATATTTCCCCTAGACTTGAGATTTTGAACTGTATAACCTCTAATCTTGGAACTAAGTGCAATGCATTTGCTATGGCTGTGGACTTGGTGAGAAGTTCTTAATTCTTTTTTATAATTATGGGGTTTTTTTTTACTTCATTCTCTTACATGGTCTTCCTTCTTGAGAGAAAGAGTTAACACTTCATTGCAAAATTGCCTTTGGGAAAGTTTTTTACATTTGCTGTGTGAGTTGGAGAGATGCTCTGTGACATTTTTGCCATAATTTAGATTTAACTGCGCACAAAGGCATGAAGCACCTGCCAACAATACAATACAGCCCCAGCTTCAGAAGGCAATTATCTCTCAGATTATGTCACTGATGCTTCTGTGATTCTTCTGGTTTGGATATATTTTGTCATTTCAGCATCCATATATTCAAATCAAAAAGGGTCTACTGTTGTAGCAAAATCTATTTAAATTATTTTCATTTCTAGAATAGTCACCCACACCCACCTATAATGTCTCCTATTCAACAACTGTGACCTTCCATTTTTTCTAACATCCTTTCATAGGGAAATGGCAGAAGTCTAAAATAACTCATTGAAATGATTTAATTCTTCCCATGGAAATGAAACTTAAATGGTCCTTTTTGACCTATGGTCTAAGACTGCTGATAAGAGGGGAATAATAACTAAGTAAAACAAGCCTAGTGTCAGGCGTAAACTTATGATCAAAAGGCTTTGCATTTGCACTGCAACTTTTTGAAAGCCATCCTAAGATTCATGCTTTAGATTCAGCACTTACAATTAGGGTTGGTGAAACATTGGGCAGGACACACGGGCGTGAAGTGAATGCACGGGAGAGCCAGAGCCCTGCTTTTTCCACTGCTTTTTGCTACCATATCATACAAACCTGTTGCAATGAAACAAACCAGCTGAAGCCAAGCTCAAGTGAAGCACAAGTGAGGAGTCAGCAGCAGCCGTGGCTCCATCCCAACCCCTGTGACAGCTAGCATATCCCCTTAATTGGCTGGCCCTTCCTCTCACCAGCCGGCAGCTCACTCACAGGACAGCCCAAGAGGTGCCACCCCGAGTATTTGCGCAAGGGCACAGCAGTCAGACCTGCCGTGCCACGCTGGCTTCACAGCTGCACTGAGCCATTGCCTGTAAACGTGAGCCACCTCATCAAACATTATCTAACCCTTTGTTTGTAATTGCCTGTACCATTATCTGCCGCTGGTGTCATAACTGTACATGTAATTAGTAAATGCACCTTGTCCCAGCAAGCATGCATCCGGGATCAAGCACAGTCCCACTTTACAATACTGCTGCCCACCTTTGTGAGCAACATTTCTAGCTCACTCCTGGTAAAACTGCTGATAACACAATCTCCTTTAAACTGTGTGTCTTAAGACATTTGAATACAATGCACAGCTGAAATCTGGGAAGCGTAACATTTGTAAAGCTGGGAGTGACTGAGAAAGTATGCTGCTGCCCATGGTGACTGACCCAGGGGACAGCAGCAGGAGAAACATGACAGAGCAGCATAGCTTGAGGACTGAAAACACACTACCAGGGCTACAGGTGGGGAAACAACCTGTACACACTCCACCAACACGCGACTTCGTACTGCCTTGTGTAGGTGCAGCAGCCTGGCAAAGTCACCGATCAACTTAACTCTGAGAGCGAACGCTGTGATCCAAGCGCGTTTGTGATGGGAAAGTTTCCAAAAGCCTCCACGCTCCTGAGCGAGAGGTACTTGAGAGAGAGCGGACTACCCCGCGCTGCCCGCTGCCAGCAGACACTCCGGTTTGCCGGAGCGGCTCTCTGAGCCACAGCAGCAGCAGCAGCGGC